TTCTTAAAACCATCTTGACAAGTTGTTAATATATTTTGCCGTTGATAGGAGTTTCCTTTTTTTTTGCATGTCAACCAGCCAGTATATTTTTTTAAAAACTCGCCCTTGTTAAGTTTTTGTGGGGCTATTGATACTCCAGGAGAGCACTTGGGAATATTTAACTTAATTCACCAATGATTGATTTTTTCACAAATGTTTGTGGATAGCATCGCATTTAAACGGTTAATTATTATTAATTAATTAAAAAATACAATAATTCCATTTTAAATACTCTTTGATATTAAGTACCCATGTGCTAAAAATATTTATTATTTATTTGTTGTCGGGCGAAAGGATGATTGACTGTAGTTTCAATTAGATTTACACACTTATATGACCATTAAAAGCGAAGTATTTTTTTCATTGATTTTAATTTTGTTTGTAAATATGGACAAATTTGTACAAAAACTATACATATATCCTGATAAATTCGTAATTCGTAAGCAAGTCGAATACAATTTGGCTTGTTTTGAACGGACTATTTTTTTTGGGTGGGACTAAATAAATGAGAGGTTATCAACGGTTTTTTTTTCAAAGCCCAATACCACTTAACTAATCTCTAAACGTTCTTTGGAAACGGGTAAAAATACATGTCTTTTGTTGTGTAGAAATATAAAAATAATGTTACTGTAAGATTTATATCTTATAATTATTATTATTAGAAATTATAGATTCCACTATTATTATGCTTAACCTCTTCAATTTATTTTTAACGTGAATCAGCAAATCCATAAAAGCAGTCGATTGAAGATTTTTTTTTAGATGATGTTCCCCACTCAACAAATTTTCATTGGGGGCAATATCCAGAGGTAGCGTCAAAAAGCATTTAGTCAGGGGAGATGGCTAACAAGCAAATGGCAAACGTTAATTTAAGCCATGGTCCAGCATCAGCTATTTTCAAATTTTGTTTAGCAAAATGCATTTGTTTGCATTTATGCCGGCCTGCAGAAATGAACATGCAAATGACCGTTTTATTACGGACATTTTATTATTGTGCCAAAATGTTCCATTAAATACAGCAGGTAGGATTCGGTATTTCCAAATGCGTAAGTCCCGATGCGGCTGTGTGCCTAGCCATTTAAATGCCAAATTATATATATTCTGCGAACATGACAGCGGCAACAAAAAATCAATTTGTAAATGTTTTTAGAGTGCAACCGAGAAGGAAGCGGGGAAACTTTGACATTCCGCACAACTTTGGCAGCTGCCGTTGTTGCTGTGGCCATTGCTGTTGCATATTTCCCAATATTGCGGGAAAACGAATCGATACGAAACGCGACGCACGGAAAAGCTGCCAAGTGACCCCATTGGCATCTGCAATGTCCGTTTTGTAATTAGCGCTCGATGCGACGACTCCGATGGGAGTTTCCTGACCTCAATTGCTTTGTCACCATTTCAATTTGCAATTTCAGCCATTAACTAGCTACACTCGACGCAATTAAACTTGCACTTTTCCAGCTACCTGAGCGTGGCCAGAAGAAAAGGACAAACATGCCGCGTTCCCTTCAGCAGAATGGACCTTCTTCGGAATGATGACAGCGGTTTGCACCCACTGAAAATGTTGCTGCATAGTGAAAGTACTCGTACATATAGTAAACACCCTGGGAATCGCGCAAATACTGATACAAAACTCTTCACCGTCCGGCTGCATGTGCGTTCCAATGGAATAATTTGAAATTGGAAAAAAGAGATTCTCCTCTTTTTGCCATCTTCTCGTTGAGTTAATTGCAAATTGGATGAAATTGTAATTTTACACTTCATTTGATTCAATTCATGGCTGATTGACAATTTAGTTTTTCATTAAGGTAGCTGCATAAGAATTTATTTAAACACTGTAACAAAGATGTGTTTTTTTGTAAAGATGAAGTTTTAAGAGCAAATATACACATGTATTAAGATTTAGTGGTAACGAAATTACTTTTTACATCAGTTTGTAGTGCTTACACTTGCATTTTTTTTTTTATTTGACAGTGATTAAAGATTTTATCTAAAATTAAAACCAATAAAATTTAACAAATGTTTAAGAGAAACTGCCCTTTGTAATTAGATGAACAAAACTAATATCTTACATATTTTATGAAAACCAACAATCTTGAAACAATTAATATAATAACTGTTTAAAATTTTAAATATTTAGTTAGGCTTAGCAAGTTGCCTCAATCAATTTGAATTAAAAAAGGCTTTAATGGCTTATAATGTATTTTCGCTCGGTGCACTTCACCGTAGTCAGGGTGAAGCTTTCCCAGGATAAACCAAAAAAGTGCGGCCAAATATGGCGACTCCTTGATTGCAGGCAGGCATCTTGCAGAACTTAAGGAGGAAAAGTGTGTCAATGTGATAAGGTCCTTGGGAAAGTTAAGTGGCCCACAAGTTGTAGGACGATGCCTTCGATTGGGTAAGTATTTATTAGATAGTTCCCCTTTCGAAGGAGCAGCCAAAAAAGTACGTTTCTAGTAAGCAATTATTTAAGAAGAACTACCTAATAAATTCGTCACCAATCAAAGGCATTGACCTACCATGCACTATTCCAAAACATTTAACAAATTTCGGATATATTTTAGTTAAAACCCACAAAATACACACATTGAAGCGACCCAAAAGAATCGTAAATTAAAACAAAGAAAATGTTTAAAGTTCACAACTAATAACGAGTAACCCACATATAGAATTTATTTTATGAAACGTATTCGATATATAAGCTGATATAAGCTAAACAAAATGCAGGCTTAAAAGCAGTTTAATTTTAAATTGCCTTTATTTTTTTAAAAATATAGTTCTGTTTTTTCCTTTTAACATAAGTTAATATAAGAAGTGCTGCACATTTTTTATTTCTTTTTATAGTTATTCTCGCACCCAGCATTTTTGAGCATATCTTATCAATTATTGAGACCCTTTGGAGCAGCCACCACGACAAGTTTTAGGCGTTAGGTTCGCATATATTTCGTGTACGACGCTTACGTTGTGTGGTTACACGAAATAAACAAAAGTCATAAAGCAAACTTAAAGTTATGAATTTTTAAAATTTCTGATTTATTTGCAGGAAAACTTTTTTATCCCACCCTCGCGCAGACGGACCCCCACGTGTGTGTGTGTGTGAGTGCAGCGTGAAAGAAGTTACCACTTTTTTTTCTGCCGCATCTCCTGCATTTTTTGGCAAGTTTTTGTGCATACCTGTTTTCATATTTTTTTGTTTGTGTTGCTGCCTGGCATAAAGTTTAAGTTGTCACGTGACTTGCGAGCTGAGACGAGCGAAATTCGCATAAAATAAATAGCTGGCAGATAGAGGCAGGTGGCTGCGAGGAAACCGGATCCAGGGAAACGCCATTTACAGCAAAAGAAAGTGTGGCATATGCTCAGGCGCACGTTGCTTTTGTTTTAATATTCATATTCGGGCATCAGAAATTATTCGTTAGAATTAAGCTGCAGTGGCAGAGGAGATGGGACAGCCAGCTAGGAAGTGAGCTTAAAAGGGACAGCGAGCAAAATGCTTTGAATTTAAAATCTGCAATTTTCTGTTGATTGCCGCACCCAGCAGACTGCTGTTATATAGTAACATACAGCATACAGCAGCAGGGCAGCAACAATAGCAACAACCCCATAGTGTTGGCGGTTGGCAAAAGAAAAAGGAGCAGCAAGAGCAGTAGGAGCAGAATCAGAAGCAGAAGCAAAAGCAGCAGCAGCAGCAGCAGCAGCAGCAACATCATCACAACTTTTGCGTAAAATTCCAGTCATGTGTCCCTAACAAATCCCTGCATTATTCATGAAATGATAAGATGACTTTGCGCTGCCGTCGTCGTCATTCGCTCCAGAATCCCGCCCACACCCAAACCCGCAGCATTCCCACCCATGTACCACCCCCTCGCCAGTAAAACAACCCACCATACACGTAATACTTTTACATGCAGCTACAACACGGACTTTTCCTCCGGTCTCCTCCGTTTGTTGTCTGCATTTAACTACCAAGGATATCCCTTAACTTAAAATTTTCTCATGCCACTAGTAAAAACAAACCGAAAAGGTGTTTTTGATTTCAAAGCAAACTTTAAAGTGCCCGCATTATTGGCAGGTCCGAATGAATATGTTAATGGATGGCTAAAACAAACTACAGCCCCTTAGGATTTTTTTTGCATACCATGAGTAAACACAATGCTTACGAATTTCTTTTCAATCATAGCAGCAACAAAAAGACAATGATAATTTGTGTTTGTAAACAACTTTTTAAAGGTAAAATTCCAATGCTTAAATAATAAGTAATGCTACATATAAATTTAAATGGTATTTCATTGGAAGATTAACGTTTGGAATTATGTGGTAGATTCAAAAACCAAGAAATTATACATTTAGTTTTAGACGTTGAAAAAATTACTTATGCGATACGTTTTGCCAGTCAGAATTGGATTTTTGTAACAAAGAAAATCTTTCAATTTTCCTGCATTTCCAAATATTACCCACAAGGGTAACAATAAGGAAAAACATAAAATGTTGATCAAATTTGTCCCGCCCAAACAATTTATGCCAACTAAAAGGTCTTCTTCTTCTTACAAAGATTAAACATGACTGCACTATACACTACAAAAACAACAGATTTAATGTTAGAGATAACAGAGTACCACATCCATAACAGCCGGCAGGAAGAAATGGTTAAATCTAACATTTGAGCTGTTAAGGATAACATCGAAACTGCAAAAAGTCAACAGACCGGGCGACAAAACTACAAAATCTCAACGACTCTCTTCGAAGCGCTCTTTGGGATGAACTCTGGGACCCCAAGGGTCCTGTTACAGGCTCAGCTGTCGTGTAACCGAGCATCCCCTGCAGCCGAGGGGTCTTTTCAGAAGCTGAGCACACGGTGTTACACGACAGCCGGTCACGAAGTCCTTCAGCGGCAGAGACGCAGACTGCGCAGCCGACTGCGATGTCATCCGTGAGTTGAGCTCACGAGTCCGAGTTCGCAGCTTCAGTCAGCTCGTAAGCCTGAAGCCGCGCGGAGATACTTTCCATAGGGGTCCTTCTTTGCCGACAGTTTCGAGTTTAATAAAAGATAAAACATAAAACAGACATGGAGTTTATTAACTAAGATTAAGTAAAATACATCGTTACAGTGACAAGCCAACAAAGAAAATCTTAAAAACTTTATATAACCAAGCATCAGAGTCCCTGCCGAAAGGTCAATTAACTGAAGCGTGCAGTCAATAAAATTCCAGTTAACCTAACGCAACAAAACAGCCAAAGCAAAAGGAATGAGTAAACAGTTCTCAAAATACATTTACAATCTACGAAAAAAAACGAAAGCAAAATGAAACAAGTTTAAATTGCACTGGACTGGCAACTTCCGCTTCCGTTGAGTGCTTCAATTTCAGTTTAATGTTAACTCCGACAAAACCCAAATTGACAAGAACAACCGACCCAAAATAAAGCGAACGTAAACCAGGAAACAACAACACACAAAAAAGGTACTGAGACACAAGGTCTCAAGCGAAAGGGGGCGTGGCCGTGGCAGGTGGATGGCTTACTCAAATATTAAACACATGGATTCGTTTGAATTTGGCATTTAAATTATTTAAGTTGACAAACGCACACACACTCAGACAAGAAGTACAAAAAGAAAACAGGATGCCAGGGCGTCTGCCACGCCCACACGTCCATGTTTTCTGTGTTTGTTCCTGCTTTCCCTTTCATGCGAGTTCGTACCCAAAAAAAAAAGTGTTCAAACGATATATTTTTCACTTAAACTGGTGAATGATTCAATGATGTCAATTTCAGATACTTCACATGTCAAATTCTTTAAAATACTATAATGCAAATAAAATATTTGGCACACCAAGATGTGTTAATTTCACATTAGAAAATATATTTTTTTAAGTAATATAAATTTAAGAGTGCTATTGAGTTTTTCGCATACCAATCAAGTTTGCAGCCTTTAGCGTTATATGCAAAACTGAATAATAGAGCATGACTTAGTACTTTTTATTTTCTCCGTGTACAGGAAGTCGCCAGCTCCTTCGAGTTTTTTCTTTTCTCTGGGCTGCTCTAATGTTTGTTATTTATTTATAACGACACTGACAGAGCGTATCCTTTGAACTTTTCTGCATGAGTTTGTCGCTGAGTTTATTTATTTATATTCTCTTGTGCCGTTTCTCGATCTCGTTTTCGACTTCGTGTGCTTCGTTTTTACATCTCGCTTTGACACTGTATTCAATTAATTAAGCTTCCCGTTTGACCTCCACTTGGTTGTTCGATTCTAGTTTTTTGTCGCTTGCCTCGACTGCACTCGAAACAAAGAAAGTCCCGGAGATGCGAAAGGGATAAACTGCATAAATCAACGCCACTGCCAAAGCCAAGAGCAACAATAACTGGAAGCAATTAATTTTATTCAAACAAAAGAAAACAATAAGGACGACGACAAAAAATGGATTACGGCTGGCTGATGTTTCTGTTCATCGCACTTTTAATTGGTAAGTTTTTTGACCCTCCGCCGGAATGGCGGAAATTATTATTATTTTTTATGGCTTTCGGGATTGAATTTCGGCTGTGTGCAGCATTCGGGACAATAATTGTTTGGTTAATGATGCGCTGAAAGGGATTTGCAGTGCGTATGCGTAATGTGAGCCGAACAAATCACCCTTGTCGTTAATTGTGAATCGGCTTATTATTATTTTAATTGTTATTGGTGTTTGCCGAGAACACCAACCGCAAATCAATATTGGGAAAGTTTTCGCCTCTGGCTGTTTTAATGACTTTTGCCATAATTTCAACGGCTGCAATTGCACTTGCCCCATTCGTTTTGGCATTTGGTATTTTCTGCTGCCACAACTTTTGCTGAAGCAGCAGCAGCACATCTTGAGTGCAGTTTAAACTTAAATTGTATTTTTGAAATGCTCGCAATTAGGCAGACTGCCAAAGGCAGCAGCCCCTTTTCTTTTTTCCCGCTTTTCTCTGACTTTTAATTCCCTCCTGCACTCAAATTGCCAATGGCAATGGGGCAATTAATTTGGAGCGCGTTAAATGAGCTGGCTCACTCCGCTTTTCACTCTGCTCGACGAGAACTAGAAATTGTATTCCATCATGTGTGCGAAGGCACTGGAAAAGTTGAGGGAAATTCAGTTGGTAAATTGAAAATAGGTAATTGTCAGTGAAGGTTTTCCCTGTTAAGTTACAAAAAATAGCAATTGACTTTGACTTTGTTTAGATACCTTGATAAGAAATTGATTCTTAACATTGTGGGCTGTCTGAATGAGAGATTACCCTCAATACAAACACCCAAACTTCTGCAATGAAATATGTTTTATTTTTGGAAATATATAATCGTGTAAAAATTATTTGGTTAATATTAATATTATTACAAATAACACAAACGATTTATGCGATGTTTTAAAAATGGGTAATCTTTCCTGTTTTTAAAAATGCTATGCGTTTAATACCTTTAGCGGTCAGGATTTTAATAACTATATGCAAAGCTTTTTTTTATTTATTTAAACAATGCTAGCATAAAAAGAGTATACGGAAGGCTTGAGTTCGACTCATTTCCGTCTTCCTTTAACTGCGGCTGACTTGTTTTCCACACACACTCCACAAGTAATACTTTAAATCTAGGACACTAGCACAAAGGATTTGGCCACAAAGACTGACGGAGAAAGAAGTTTCAAAAAAAGTTCTTCTACGGAGTTGTAGCATTTCGATTTCAGTGGACGTGTCTATATTTAAAGTGTATGCGGCAACAGCAATTTGGCCGACCTAATGGAATTAAATATTGTCGCCACAAAGCAACTATAACAAATAACAAATGGTTGGGACCTGTTTATTTACTTTTAAAATCAGTTGGACTCGTCTGCCAAACGACACCCAATTAATTTGCGGATTTAGATGGAACTAAAATTAGGAAAAACACTTTGAGTGTTTGCCAGTCTCGTTTAGATACTTTTACTTCACTTTGTGGGTTTAAGTGGTCTTGCTGATGAAATTAATATATATGCCTATGTGACAGCCACAAAGACTACTGGACCGTGAAGACTTGTGTATATAGTTGTGTTCAAGAAAACACAATTATTATTATTACACATTTAACAAAATAAACAATTTTTCAAAGGAGTAGGCCCCTATACGAGCAAGCCAATTATTAAATTTAAATTGTTTTCTTTTCTTAGCTTAAAATCCTGTTCACAACTTAAATTTCCTTCGCATTTGAATATCGGAATTAAATGCAAATATATTAGAAAGGTGTACTTAAAATCAAATTATTTTTTCTACAAGTTTTTTAAGCAAAAACAAAGAAAATCATCATTATTCGGTGATTTGTGCAGTGTATGGAGAATGCATGAAATGTATGCATGCGGACCGTTCTGGTAATTGATATTTTAAAACAACAAATTTTAATTTAAAAAATTTTATTTATTTTTGCCGCGCTGTATTATTTTTAACAAGGATGTTCATAAAAACTTTTGCTTGGTTAAGAAAAAATAATCTTTCACTGATACACAGAGAGCTTCCATAAAAATAAAGTGCCACCACAAAAATATTTGCAAAAATGTCTAGTCCCATCTTTCTAAATGTTTTATCACCAAACTTGGACGGTGTTGGTCCCCGGAAATGCATGGGTAAATTTTCTCCTATGTGGGTGGGAATTCCTTTGTCTATACGTATCCCTATGTAAATGTGTGCTTGCCCTATCTCGAATGAAATGTGTGGGTTAATTATCAGCAAAGTTTTCATGTGCTGAGGTGTAAATATATCTGTGTTTGTATCTCAGTCTCACCTTAACCCCCTCCATTCCCATTTTGTGTGGTTAAGTGGGGAATGAGCTTAACCCATACTTTGGCAGTGGGATTGTAATGCCTGCGAATGGCTTAAAGTTTTGTTGATTTAAATGCGTAATGAATTCCAGCAATTTGCCGCATTTTATCACAACTATCTCCAATCAATTTAAATAAAATATTTATTTGTGTAATTGTCCGACGTTGTTTCCATTTATGTTAATTTGCATATGCACAAAATGCTTAAAAGCTTTGGTGGTTTGTTTAAAAGGTACATTTTTTAATAGCAAATAAAAAATGAATAATAGAGAACTGTTTTGTAGCAAAGTTATATGTATTTTTGCGCAAAAGCAAAATAAGTATACAGACATATGATATGTTTTGTTTGGCTTTGAGTGGAATAGATTTAAAAAATTCTGCCTGTTTTTCTAAAATGCCTTACACGGTTCGAAAACTTCCTTAAGCTGATTTCCAACTCCTAAATATGTATTCTGTTGGCAGAGTTTCTTTTAAGTAACATATATTTATACGCATTTCTCGGCTTATTTTAAATATATTTTGTAGAGGCAAAACTCAAGTCAATCTGGCATTTGATTTGTTCGCATTTCTTATCAGTTTCTGAACCAACCACCCTCTGGTTGTTTGTTCGGCTGGTGGATAGCCTTTTCTGAATGGGGACACCAGAAACTTCCCACTAAGGGAAGCTACAATATGCGAGTTACATATGGCCCCGTATTCATTGCATTTGGTTTCTTGCCCACTCTTGTGTCGGGCTACCTACCTGACTAACTAACTGTTTTGCATATTCATTTCATGAAATTTCAAATTTATTCGATGTCTTATGTGCCAGAAGTTGGCTACAAAAGCACCTGCCGTCTCCCTTTGTGTCCCTATTTTCCATTTCCCAGGTCAGTCACCTAGCTAAATTAAAAATTACGCATACCACACCCGCCGCTGAACATGTCTCTGGCTTTTGGTCACCATAATTGTGTCATGGGCCTGTGGGGTCCTGTATCCGACGGTCCAAGGATGGCAGATTTCCATGTACTCATCCTACACAAAATGAATGAGTGGCACGCCCGACGATTCGATTACAGGAAATCGCCTGGGCTCTCTGTTATCTAACAATATATTACTGTGTGCTGCTTTGGCCGTTTTTAGCTTAAACTACCTTAGTTTTATATGTTGTTTTATCATTTAGTACTGTATATTTGAATTTGTATTAATTTTGCTGTTTCAGCAGGAAATTTAAATTTTAACATATTGTTCAACTTATAAAACTATGTTAAACTATGTTTTGTTACTCATTTTTAAAATGTTGGTGGCACGTTTCACATGGTATGACCCTATTTTAAATTATTATGTTTCGCAAATAATTTATATTATACTAATTTTGATTTATAGACTTCCCAATAGCTTCCGCCCTGTTCGTGACGGATATAAGTGTGCCCGAGATTGTGGACTTCCGGGACAATGTGACCCTATCTTGCAGCTACGATATGCGAGGTCACACGTTAAACTCGGTCAAGTGGTACAAGGATCATGAGGAGTTCTTTAGGTAAGCCCCAATAGTTTTTTATCTTAAGCCAAGCTAACAATAGATATCTTGCGGGTAGATATTCTCCTCTGACGAGTCCGATTTACATGACCTTCGGGGTTCCGGGACTGCAAGTGCTCGACGGGAAATACCTGTGCAACGAATCGAGCTGCAGGCTGGAATTGAGTTTACAAGGTGCCAAATCTACGGGACTTTACAAGTGCGAAGTGAGCGGCGACGCCCCTCATTTTAAACTTGCGGACAAGGCGGACAACATGACGGTGGCAGGTGGGCATTTAGTTGGAAAATTCAGCTTAATTTCAATAGCTCATAAGTCTCCAATATATTTGCAGCCTTGCCCCAGATCGATCCGCTAATCGAGAGCTTTAATTCGATGTACCGGATGGAGGAGTTCCTCAGCGCCACCTGCTCCTCGGATTACTCCAGTCTACCCACACGGCTCACCTGGTTCATCAATGGCGAACAGGTCGGTTTCTCCATTTAATTCATGCAGCTCCAATCAAATTTAAAAATTCAAAACTAAACTGTCTAAGAAGAGCTTTAAACAACTTAGTTTTAAAAATTATTTAGCATTAAACTAAGTATTTATCAAAGAATCCAAAGTATATATATTTTACGTTACCTACATTTTTAGTGACTTTATGCGTTTGTCACCTGATACTTCCTATAGGTGTAATAGGCGAACTAATTTTTCAATTTCCTCTCCTTTTTAGCCCCTTCTGGGGGAACTGCATCCCACCACCGACACGAGCATAGCGGCCCACGATTATGTTCTGCGGCGGCAGCGGCTTCAGGTGCACTTCTACTTGCAGGGCCAACGCTTCTTCCAGGCCGGGAAAATCCTGGAGCTGAAGTGCGTAGCGGAAATTGAAAATTATCCGGAGCTGAAGCGCGAAAAGACGCTCAGTGCGTCGCTGTCGCAATTTGACAATTTCAACAATCAGATGCCGCTGAGACATGCGAATGCAAGTGAGTTTACCCATTATTGAAATTTCAGCAATTAAAAAAACTTCGATTAAGAATTAATATATATAAAATTAAAATTTGTGTCTCTCAATAAAGTATATAAGCTTGTTAAAGAAACTAAATATATTTGAAATTTATATTTAGAGCCTTTTTGGTCTAGTCGAACCTAAGATCTATTTTCCTTTCAAATCAAATTTGTTGCCGTGACTTTTCCTTGGTTTATGTGCCTATGTCTTCTTTTCTCAATCTCCGTTTCTCAATCTCTTTTTCTCAATCTAAGACTCTGGGGCGACACAATGGAGCAGCCTTAGTGGCAGGACATCGCTAATTTCCGCAATACTGGCAGCAGTTCTACTAATTCACTGTTTGCGTCGCCTTTCATGAACACTGAAAACTATCAGGAAATCGGAATTGCAGCAAGAATTTAAGTTTCTGCGTTGGGAGTGAAAAACGCCACGTATGGCAACTTTGTCAACTATATCATCACGTTAGTTAGTCAGTCAGTTAGTCACCTAGTTAGTTAGTTAGGATAACAGACAAAGGTAAGACCGCGAACTAGTGAATAGGAAAGCTTTTAAGATAATATATGTACATACAATTTAAGGGTTAAGGACAAAAGTTTTGAAGGTTATAAATGCTCAAAAAGCAAAAAAAAATTAACATCACGTTGTTTTAAATGCAGTAAGCATTTGTTCAACTTTATTTCTGATAAATAAAGTTATGTGAACAAAGTTCGAAGTTAATATTAATATATTAAATTGTTTCATTAAATGGTTTTAGCAATGAAAAATATTCTTTATGACAATGTTGCGTTTTTGATTGGAACCAAATTATTTTGTCATAATAACATAATAAAAATATTAATTATGGATAATATTTGCTAGTATTCATTAAATAATAATTTGCAAAATCAGAAGTTCAGAAACGGTTGTATAGGTTTTTTCCATATTCAAAATGTTAACACAATGCTTGGTGTGAAAACACGTAATTCTCTTCATTTTAAGTCATGTTATTCTTGTAAATTAATATTTTCATGTCAGTTAGTTTGACAAGCATTACGAATAAAAAAAAACTGAAAATTAAATCGATAAAAAACTGCCAGAAAAAATTGATTTACCTGCCTGACACTGATACTAGCCAAAATAAGTCACTCTTCAACAAACCAATCGAATTTCCAATATATGTATATAAGCGTAATTTTTTCGATTGTTGTTCGGCATTTGATTTTCATTCGAAGTGCACATGAAACCATTTTCGAGCAAATATATCCGCGCACTTCCCATGCCAAGTATTGGGAAAAGTATAAAAAATAACACATATGAAACACCATAAAAAATAAGTGAACACATAAAAAAGAAATAACGAAATGAATTGCGATTTTATCAGTAAAAACCCAGAATGCAGATACTGTAAAAACCACTATAATTAAGTCTAGCATAAATATGTTGTAAATACATTTTAAACATTTAAAACAGAGGACAAACAACTATAAATCATGTCACTTAGCCAGAATCAACCAAATACGTATGTATATAAAGCTATTCGCTATATAACTCAGCATGTATTTACTCAGGCCGACGTAAAAAGCGAACACGAAAATTAAATAGCTAGTGAAACGAAGTAAAAACGCAATAAACATTTCATTTAGCTGAGCGACTACAAATAGAGAGTAATCATTATCCGCTGGGTCAAAGCCCTCTAAAAAAAGATCTGGTAACAGAAGGCCAACTAATAAATACATATTATATATTGTACTTCGGTATAGTAATGAAATGTAACCTGGACGTTTCTGAAATCACTTTTTTATATTCAGTTTACACAATTAAAATAAAACTCAGTGTGTATAATGGGAAAGCATGCAAAATATAAAATATAAATGTATAAATTAATTTACATACTTATTCGCACTTCTTTCGGTTGTAAAGAATAAAAAACACACACGATAAAATGGATATAAACGAGAGTAAATAACGATAATGTATATAAAAGCATTTACTTTAGTTTTTCATTTTGGCGAATGGCCATTAAATTTTGTAAAATAATTGAAAATGCGAACTGCAATGCATTTGTTTTTTGTTTTCTTGCTGTTCATGAAAACTTCAAATAAATAAGATAAATAAATAATTCAGTTTATGGATTTCAATGCGTTTATTCAGAGTTCGAATCGCTAATCTGTATTATAACAGACAGGTTGGTACACTAGATCACTATGGTCGCTTTAATTGAAAGCTGGGGATAGGAAAATAAATGGGATTGGCCGGTAAACAATATTTACAATGTGTGCAGTTTACCGTCGACCGTTTAAATGAATTTTGAGCAGGGGCTACTCTCAGAAGTAGGCAATTGATTTTTTTTATTCACCAAAGGTATTTTAAATTTCATATTTGGGTTTTCGGGTATAGAAAGCACATATTTAAAAGTTAAGATACCCTTGCTCATTGATTAAAGTGTTTCCCCTTAAAAGAACCCGAAGCCAGGGCTTCAATTAATTTTGATTATATTTTTAATGATTTAACGACTTTTTGAGCACTTAACTTTCTTAAAAGCCTTTAAAACGAACAGGGGTCAGCCGAATCATTAAAGAAATTATAAATAAATTCCCTGACTACTTTGACCTCTTGGCAGAAATAATAACTTGTTTGACTACGCAAATTTGCACAATTAGTTATGTTAATGAGGCGCCGCCCAAAAAGGCAACGGGTGTAGCTGCTAAGCGCCGTAAGTCGAAAGCCGAGCGAGGACTTAAACAATAAAAAGGGTTAAATAATTAATTTCAATGCTGCTGCAATTAGTTGCCACTAAATGTTGCATGAGTTCTGTCAGGAAGATAGGCCATGGGACACGCATACACACCGGACAAAGTGGAAGAGACCAAGACGAAAAGCCGAGAATGCGGAAAATGCGAAAAGTAAGCGAGGAAGGCGAAAATAGAAGGAGGAGGACAAAGACAAAGGACAAAGGCCAAAGACCAGGACCTCTTAATGAGCCTGGCCCTGGGAGCTAATCAAATTAGCCGACCCATGGAATTTTGATCAAAAATGCCAAAACTTTTCACATTTTCGCTCCATTTTGCGTCAGCAGCGGCCACATGGCGTATGCGTAATTTATGTGATTTTAATTAGCCCGCCCAAATAGACGGACAGTCTGGTGCAAAAACATGCATGACTTATGACGTATAGCTGTCATATTCACGATTCGGGAAGTACACTTAATTGAAATTAATTTTGAATAATTCTCGGCTCGACAATTTTTGTGATTTGGCCGACAGTCGGCATGGAATTTCAGACATTTTCAATTAACAAACGGAATGGAAGCGGCCCAGACAGACGCTTATCAAGTGGAAGTTCTCTTGAGTTGCCTCTAAGTTATCGAAAATAAAGTGAAGTGAATTTTCCGCGCTCTGGCATTTGTCAAAGTTTCCCACCTCAGCCCCTTGCGTGTCCTTTTCGATTTTTTTTCCCCTTCGCACTGTTCTTTGCTGCAATCGTCGCCTGTTTGCGTTTCATTAAAATCCATTAAAATGCTGCAAATCAAATTAAAAGTTTTAACTTCGGTCTGGCAGTTGGCATCGTTGTCAGACCATCATCATCAGCCGTTTACGGATCTTCCTCTTCATTTGCATGCGCAACAATTTCAGAAGACGATTGCAAGTCCTTCGATGGCTTTGCAGAAATTACTTTTTAATTTCTTCGCTAATTCGCTGAATTTTCTGTGCGACCGAAGGACAGGCCGTCGTCCATTGTTTATTAATTACATGTGGCGGGCGGCGGCGGCGGAGCCATCAATAAACAAATATCGAAACGAATCTGTTATGACCCGTTGACCTATTGAACGCTACGTGACCCACAATGGCTCATTTGTATTTTGTATGTGGCCCGAATGGCAACCTCATCGGCCGCCTGCCACGCATACCAAGCAGTTGTTGATGTTGACACAAATGCTGTCAGCTCCGAGTTGCTTATTCCCAAATTGATATGCAAACAGCGCAGCACGCACTGGCTGAAAAGGCTGACAGGGCCCAGAACGCGGGGCAAGGTCGGAAGTTGGCCTCCTCGCCACCTAAATGCTCTTGTCGGCGCAGAGATTTCAATTTTGATTCAGGTCGGGCCTCGCTCTGTATGGGATAATCAAAATTGGTAAATATTAAAAGCGAAACGGGACCCAGTTCACAGAATTTGTAATGTCAGGAACGAGCTCTTCGATCTTATAATATAGGTGGTGGAATGGCACGTCGTAAGCTAGGTAAGTAATTATCTTGTTCGTTTAAATTTTTTTTTAATCATTAAAGCTACAAAAATACACTTTTAATATATTTTTATATCAAATCTTAGTCAAAGTGCGTTATAAGGCCGAAAACAAACTGGCTTATCATGCAAACAAAAACGAAATCAAGACAGGATTGAAATGAAATTTAAGGACGGCTTATTTCTTCTTCACCCTATAGGAACCAGGCAACAGAAAACGGCTTGTAAAACGCCCTGTAAGACAACAATTGAAAAGAATTACCTCTAAACCGACTACAAAACACACACGCACTGGCATTTGAAGAAGCTCAGACCGACAGACAGACAAATGTATGCAAAATGCTTTTTGGCAAAGAGGCCGACACACGACTACTTAGGGCTCTAACCTCCAGTTGGGGGTTAAATTCGGGGAAGTGTTTGAATTCTGGGGCAGAAACGCCATCGGCAAAACGTAAACTCTTCAATAATTGAACGTGTAGTCATGAGGAAGCGATAAAATCGAATTGCTTCCTTAATGTGTGAAATTGATACAGGAAACAATTTTCCACATTGTTATGGCTCGCACATGGTGCAAACGAAAAGGCGAAGGCATTGGCGTTGGCATTGGCATTGGCACTCAGGCATCTTCATCGGTGACATAGGCCAGCCATCAGTTGAAGCTCTTTAGCCGAGATTACGTCGAATCTACACTCAAAAACGAATCACTTGAAACTTGAATGCGTTCGGATATATCAGCTAACAACTCTACAACTTTTTGAATAGCTTGATTCTCTTTTATAGAACCCGTATTCTATTTAGTTGTATTAATTTAACATTACATTAAGTGATTTAAATCCTGTTCAGTATTTCGTCAAGTGCACTGCACGAGGTTGGTTTCAAGTGATTCTGGCCAGACTGAAGCCAAGGGCTCAACTCACACGCAGCCGGGCTAAATATTATATTTCAAGGCCCACGTCTGTTGTACATCACCCTTCGATGGTGGCTCATATCCCCATATTCCCCCAGTTGCGGTCCACGGTCCATCAATGCTTGCAAATATGCTTTTGAATTGGTTTACGGTCATTGGAACGCGCACATTAGAGGAGCCGGAGACCCACGACCCGGGATCTGCGGACCGGGATCCGTATCATGTGCCTCCCCCGATTGCATGACCGCTCCTTGATGCTCCGCCGTTCTCTGCGAGCTTTTGCTAATGGCCTGGCTAACACGATTTGCGGCTAGAACGTCAGCTGAAAATCGGCAACAAATGTACAGGAAGAAAAACAAATTAACTATGTCCTTATCTTCGAAAGCCTAATAAGAGTTTGGAGCCCTTCAAACTAAATGGGGTTTCTAGTTACTTAAGAAATTTAATTGCAAATTGTAACATTAAAATAACTAAAAAAATTATAATCTTTTATTTACGGTAGTTTTTTTAACCTTTATTCATTTTAAAAGTTTTTTACAAAATAAAGATTAATAATTTTAGGTAATATTTAAACCAAATGTTTATGGGACGTAATATTTTAAATAATAATAATGATTGTTCCAATTTCTTTTGCATTTAAATGAAATTGTTATTTATTGCTTACTCGATTTTGGTTTCTGTATAGTGACTAGTGCATTAAATTATAGGATAAGAATCAAAATACAATTAATAAACGAATTTATTTAAAAACTTACAGATGTAGTTGCCCGGGTCATTGACTATAAGAACATTAGATGTGCCCTTATTTAAGGAAATAGATTTTGCTCAGTGTGAACAAAGGACGCGAGTTTCAATTGCGGTGGTGAGCGATTTCCAGATTGAATCTCCCTGCTTTTTCTGATACGGCAACAACCGATGGAAATGATGAGTCAAATGCAATGTCTGATCAAACATTCCGATTGGTTGGATGCGAGGAAGCCCTGGACATTCCGGCCTCAAACTGAGAGGTTCAGTTCAGGACCTCCTGTCCCTAATACGCGCCAATTTCAAGCGGCGTGCCAGCCAAGAATATTAACAGCGCGTACGGCAGTAACAACAACCTGGCTAAAAACATTGTTAACTCGCCGAGAGCCGTGTGCCGTTTACATAGCTCGCTGCACTGCGGAAGATCCTGGGTCCTGTGTCCTGAGTCCTGGGAATTCCCAGGGAGCGATATAAGGACGCAGGTCGAGGACCGAGAGGATGGCAAGACGACGCGGCGTAGCGCGACAATTTTCCGCTTGAATTACGCTCCCGGTTCATGCTTCGTTTGAACAAGCCGTACGGGGGAGGGAAATGGGAAAAGTGGGGCTGGGTGGCAGGTGGAAATCGCGAAAGGACTGCTGGATGGCATGGAAAAAATAAATAAGCGGTAGCAAATTTCCATTTTTGCCCGGCCAAAGCAAAAGCCACTCCAGAGGGGGGAGGTCCTCGCTTACGCATCGCACGCTTAACTTAAATCCACCTAAAACCGGCAATACTTCCGCGAAATAGAATATCTATAAAAACCAAAAACATTTTGAACAAATTTAAGTTTATTTAAATAGCACAGCTTGTGATATGCCACTTAAATCTTATAATACGTTTATTTTTTTAGATATCCATAATAAAATTTTTATGGTTTAGTCTGTAGAAATAAACTGGGAATGAAACTCAAAAAAAAATTCAAAAAATTAAATAACAGTTACATATTTCTACCTCACCATTTAACTTTAACAGCGCTCTTACCTAATAACTGCATTATTAAGTTTAAAATGAATAATATATATTTTTAAATATATTAGCTGGGAATTTTTCAGCTAGTGTAGAGAAGCAGGTGCTACAAGGTACGCCAGAATCGTGGCTTCTTTGACTCCTGCT